ATTGTCTAATTGGCCTGTCTCTAAAGGAATTGGGTTTATACCCGTACGGTGGAAAGATGGTTAAGGATAAATCACAAAGCTGATGATACTCAGATAAAAGTGAAGAATATTGCAAGTGAGGATGCCAATCAAAAAGCAATATGGAAATATCTTAATATTTTTATTGCATTTTGTCAGGTCTCAAGTAAAATTGTTTCACTAATCTATAACTTATAGCTAGTTTTGTATACATCTTATTGTTTTTATTTATGTATTAACTTATGAAATAATAAACTACCTTTTGGTATATTTATTTTTTTATACTTAGAGTCATTAGGACAGTGAACTGATTGTTAAATTATTTGAATCACACCAATGGATACCACTCCCCTGCCACATTCTTTTTTACACCTTTCTTTCTCCATTTCTGTTAAGTGTTTTCCTAACATCAATATAGAACTGATACTTGATAATGTTTTTACAGGATTTGATATTGAGTTTATCTCATGAAAATGTTACATAATTTGTCCGTATGTATCCTCGAAAACCCACAGGGGCAGTTCTCTGGCCTGTAGGGTTGCTATGAGTTGAAATCGATTTGATGGCAGTGAGTTGGGAATTAGTTTGTTTTTTAATTGAAGAGCCTTAAAAAGGAGACAGAGAAAATTCCTCATATTGTGCTGTATATTTCTTCTAAAGTATAACTGTTTGTTCTTTATTTGTAGAATCCATATTGTCAGATTTTGCCTGGCTTTTTATGGTTGTGCATTATTATTGAGGAAATGGCAAACTTGTTCAATTCCTTTTATTTAAATGTTCTTTTCCTGTTACTCATTGGCAGTGAAACCTAGTTTCACCCAAATGTTATTTTACTGTTCCCTTTTGGCATAGAATGGTTATTGCCACTTATTTTATTTGTTTTCTCTTTTTATCTCATTTTTGGACATAAATCTTTGCTCTTTTCTTTTTTTGCTATTAATTAACTGGTACTTTGCTTTTAAATCTTTTCCACTCAGTATTCTCTGGTATTGCATGATACCTTAACTCATTTACCATCTACTTAATAATGGTTTCTCTACTTCACTTTACCTGTCCAGGTTTAATTTTCCATTTAATATTTAGTTCAACTTTGAGCTCACTTCCAAATATGATGTAATGAGAATAGGTGAAATGCTTAAGTATCTCTAAAATAATCATTTGAAGAAGAAATACCTGCTCATACACACACGTAGTAAACATTTTTTTATACTGAGAGTTTGGACATTTGAATTTCCCCATGTTTTTTCTCACATGTGTAACCAACAGAAGAAAATTTTAAATACAAAGTAATTTTTAATATTTACCCATGACTACTTGTACTTGTTATTATGAATATTTGATATTCAAATGTGGCTTTATGAAGCATTCAGTATATCTGACATCACATTTTAAAATGGTTATGTTCTAAATTAGTTGATAGTGCAAATTGTTACCAAAGTCATCTTCAGAAAATACTTTTTATCCTTTATATTAATTTGTGTATGTACAAATCTTAATATGATATGGACATAAATTGTGTACTAGATGGAAAGAACTTTGAAATTAAGATGGTACATGAATATAATTGTTCATTTTGTACACAAATTACATACACACTAGGGACTATATTTTGATTTAATTTCCTGTGTGATGTCATGTGCCTAGGAGGTAGTAGGTTTAGTTGCACCTGCGCTTCGGTGGCCCTAGTCTTCATGTTCAGTTGGGATTTCTTCCATAGATATCTAATGGGTGCATGATTTCCCTGCAACCCCTTTGTTGTGGCCCTATGCAGACTTTTGGGAGAGACAGTCCACCTTAGTCCCTATTCTGGCTACATGGAGATTTAGTAGAACTGGGCAATGTTTTGTTCTCCATGTATTGGAGCCATCTTCACAGCAACAACATACATACCTATCCTTTTGTAAAATACGAGGGTAATTAAAAAATTATTGCTGTAATGTCATAGAAATGCTTATTAAACAAATATCAAAATATGAAGCTGTTGTTTTTCCAATATATCCTCAGTGTTCATACACTCTTGAAGGGTGGTATTTAATTTACTGGTCCTGTCACATAAGTATTGGGCTGCAACCTGCAATGTCAGCAGTCCATATCCAGTAGCATGGGAGAAAGATGAGGTTGTCTGCTTCTAATTTATATCTCAGAAACCCTGTTTCACATCACTATGAATCAGAATTGTCTCGATAGTTGAAAGTTTGGGTTTATTTTTTTACACCCTTCCATGAAGAATTCTGCATTCTTCATTTTATACAAAGACATGATGGCAGTTTTGGCATCCTCATGGGACTATTGTTCTCCTTTTAAATGTTAATGAGTTTGTGGAACAAAAAGAGTGAAAGGGCAAGAGCAGTGGTGTAGGGTGGATGGGGATAAGGCTTACTAGTGAAATTCTAAGACATTTCCCTTGCTACCCTTATCTAATAAACAGAAAAATAGTTGTGATGGAAAAAATTTCCTCAACACAAACTTTGCTGGCCCTTTTCTCATCCGTGTAGCTTTACATCTTCTTAACATTTTCTCCAACAATGAGAAAATAATTTTTCCTTTGACTTGGAAGAAAAGAGTACCTGGCACAACTTCCCCATTGGACTACTTAAATTTGTCTGTAATCTAGTTGCTCTGGTAGTCTGTTTTACTCATTGTGTTCCAGAGTAGAATTGTGTTCCTTAAGGTTGTCAGTGGCTGGTGTGTTTTGTTTTATTATTTTTAAGTAGGTCATGTGACCTTTACTTGAAGGCACTACTGGCTAGACAAGACCTTCAACCTTACAATGTATTATTAACTGTATACATCACCCAGGGTCTCTTAAAAAGGCTCTGTAAAAATGGGCTATTTCCTGAGCCTGAAATAACTTTTTTGCTTTCCTCATGTATAGTTTCTTGCATTCTGTTATGTCATCTGATTGTCTTCTCTGAATTCTCAGAGCAGGTTGTTTTCTGTTTAATTCTGTAAATATTGTGTAGCAGAGTACTTGACGTATGGTAAAAGCTAACTAGCATTGTATTCCTTCCTAAAAGACTATGTCTGCATTACTTGAGTATAGGCAGCAAAACTGATTACATAACATTTGTTTACATAACCTGAAATAAAGTTTACCAGGAGAAATGTATAATTGCATAACTTCAAAATTGTGACATTTAACTCTTACAACACTGGAATAATCTGTGACCACTCTAAGCTGATTTGAACATGTTACTCTCAGACTACCGAATAAGCATATTCAATCAGGAATCCAATAATTGATTTTATTAAGATATACTTTGTCTATTAAAAAAAATGGTTTCATTGCCTGTCTTCAGTATTGAGATTACTGTGGAATGATTCTACAATGAAAAAGCTTCATGAAATATCATAGTCAACAGTCAGAAGTAAAATAATTTAAGAGAAACATGCAGTATTGAAACTTTTGAGTTTTTCGTGTTCATTACATGAGTATAGATTATTGTTTTCCCTTGAAATATAAACCCATTGGATATATAAAGCAAAAAACAAATAACTTGAAATTACCGTATATACTCGTATAAGCTGAGTTTTTCAGCACGTTTTTAATGCCGTTTTGTGGTAAAATTAGGTGCCTTGGCTGACATTCCGGTCAGCTTATACTTGAGTATAAACGGTATTGAGCAAGTGCCAGGCTTTTAAAGCAAAAGGTGACATTAGTGATAAAAATAATAGCAGAAGTTTTAATGAATCAAACCTTGCATAGATTGGACTAACAATTCTCTATAAAAAGACAATCACTATAACATTAAAAATGTCTTAGGTGGCCAATCTTGCTTAGAAATTAATTTTCTGTAGCCTGCTTTCTGCCTTGGGGTTTGTATATAGTTGGAGAAGAGGTTGCAGAAGCCTCTTCTGCATAGTAACTCGTTCACAGTACTTCAATCTTTCTTTATGAGCTATAGATGATTCCTAGCATCTTCTCTTGGTCGAAAAACTGGGAACTCTGGGTATTTTACCATAGCGTTTTCAGATTTGGGGCTGGTTATTATTTTTGATAGTCCTGTCTGCTCATTTATGTGTTAGTAGTTGCATCTATTTTTCATGTGCTTCAAATACTGGAAATTACACTGTCGTTAACATGTCATTCCCATCTGTGCTTTGTCTACCTTTAGTATGCTAAAAGATAATTGATAAAAGATAAAAACTGTTTTTCAAATATAGGATTGGTTTGTGTAGCTTTTACTTAATTTTTTATTTGTGTAGCATTTTAGCAGAAATTTATCTTTTAATAAAAGTATTACAGTGGTTTAGTTATAATAACAAAAAACTTATTAAAATTCTGCTAATTTGCTTACAGTACTTTCATTGTTCCGCAATTATTACAATGATGCTTTGAGTCATGGGGTTTCTGCACTTGCTACAAGCATGCTCTATTTTTTTAATTGTTGCTGTTTATTGTGGTTCCTCTTTCACAGTTATGGTGCTTATTAGGGAAGCAATAGGTTATATAATTCAGGTCTTTGAGATATAATTCTTTGATCAAGACAGTCTCCTCTGAATGTGCACACAGACGACACAGCTGGTGGGGTTGGGGTGGAGGCAAGTTCTTCAGCTTGGCCCCTGGCCTGATCCCCACCATGTTTGGACAAATAGTACAGTTATTTTACCTCTGTGTGTGACTGTTTTTTGTTGTTCATGAAGACTCAGTCGGTAAATTCTTTAATTCTCATATGCATCTTTTTTTAATGTGTATACTTTTGCGGAATAATTTCTTTTATAGCTTTGTTATTTGAAAATATTTGAGTTCATAGAATATGAGTTTGAGATGGTGAATCAATAACAAAATTGCTGCTTGTAAGATTCTTTAACAATAATTATATAAAACATAAATGCTCCTGCGATTGCAGGATTTTGAATATCGGTAGATTAAGTATAGGCAGATGATTCAAATGTTACCATTTTCTGCTACTCATGGAATTTTAACTCTAAGTAGTGAAACTAAAATACTGTAAGCTTGAAGTGTCTTGTTTTTTTTTCAGGTTAGTTTGTAACCTTTGATAGCTCCATTCAGAAATGTCTTTTTCTTAAATCTAAATATTAATATATGCTTGCAGAGTAGAATAAACTTAGAAATGTGGTATAATCTGAAGTGTATAGTTGCCTTGGTGCTCTTTAATAAAGCATGCTTTGCTTTCATAGTACTCATTTTAAAATAGTCTTTTCTATTGCTCTGGTAGCATGCTACAAGATGTCTGAGGGCATATTATCTGCTTAGTGTAGGCCAGAGGAAAATAAAAGCAGTTCCTGATGTGTTTAAATGTTGGATTTGTTTAATTCACTCAACTATGAAAATTTTTCACTTTTGTTGATAAATACTTAAATAGATTACATATTTAATATTTAGGGGCCTTATTTTCTCTGTACTTTATTTTGATGTATTGTTGTTAGGTGCTTTAGAGTTGATTCCAAATCATAGTGACCCTATACACAACAGAAGAAAGCACTTCCCTGCCCTGTGCCATCCTCACAATTGTTCCTATGTTTGAGCCCATTGTTGGAGCCACTGTGCGAATCCATCTTGTTGAGGGCCTTCTTCTTTGTTGCCCTCCTACTTTACCAAGCACGATACCTTCTCCAGGGACTGGTCCCTCATGTTCATAGTACAAGAGATGGAGTTTTGCCTTTTAAGGAGCATTCTGGCCATATTTCTTATAGGACAGATTTGTTTGTTCTTTTTGGCAATCCATGGTACTTTCAATATTCTTTGCTAGCATCAATTCTTCATTCATCTTTATTCATTGTCCAACTTTCACATGTATATGAGGCGATAGAAATATCTTGCCTTAAGTCAGGTGCACCTTAGTCCTCAAATACGGATCTTTTCTAGTCACTTGGCCAAGTAGCCGTCTCCTACCTTTTCTAGCATAGATGAATCAGTGCTTCCAGTGCTTCATCAGCTGTTGAAACATTGCAGTTGGGATTCCATCAATTCCTAGAGCCTTTTGGCTACTGCTTTCAGTGTAGCTTTTGAACTTCTTCCCTGAGCACCATTGGTTCTTGTTCACATAGTACTTTCTGAAATAGTTGCATGTCGACTAGTTCTTTTTGGTACATGACTCTGTGTTCTATTTTCTTTGGATACTTCTAGCATCATTCAATATTTTGTCCATAGAATCTTTCAATATTGCAACTTGAGGCTTGAAATTTTTCTTGAGTTCTTTCAGTTTAAGATATGCAGAGCATGTCCTTTTGGGGTTTTCTAACTCTAGGGTTGTGTCCTTTTTCACTATAATATTTTACTTTTTCTAGAGCTGCCCTTTGAAATTTTCTATTCAGCTCTTTGACTTCATCAATTCTTTATTTGCCTGAGCCTACTCGACAATTAAGAGCAAGTTTCAGAGTCTCTTTTGATATCAACTTTGATCCATCCATCCTCCCTTCCTTCCTACCTTTTTAATTACCTGTTGCTGTTTTCATGAATGGAATCAAGCCTGTGAAAGTAAAGGCTTCACAACAAAGCCCACATGGAAGAAACACGCCAGCATGTGTGACCATGAGCTGTCCAAGGGATCAGGTATCAAGCAAATGTGGTCAAGAAAGCTGATGGTGCCTGGCTATCAAAAAGTATAGCGTCTGGGGTCTTAAAGGCTTGAAGGTAATCAAGCAGCCATCAAGCTCCTAAGCAACAAAGCCCACATGGAAGAAGCACACCAGCCTGTTCAATCACGAGGTGTCGAAGGGATCAGGTATAAGGCATCATCAGAACAAAAAATCTTACCATAGTGAATGATGGGGGGGGTGCAGAGTGGAGACCCAA